AAAGAGTTTATTATATTTGGACTGTGGAAGTAAATTTTGATCAAATATGGCTATAACTTATGTGACTGTATATGCTTATAGTAAATTATTTTAAGCTTTTTTTTTCTTAGAAAGGTTTATTTCCAACTACCATGTACCGGGGGGGAACCACAAGAATGTTTTCCCCTATTTTAAGCTTTAAAGACACATTTTTCCTCATTAGTTTTAACAGACATGGACCCTCCCTGGACCTCATTTCAAATGGAGATGTTCTGTATGAGTGCCAAGGTTTAATCTTACTTTCTGTGCCCATAATACATAGCGTAGCATTTTCAGTTGAATGTGTGAAGGTGCGATCCTAGCTACTGTTAAGTCAGTTGCCATGTAAATGTCTTGAAAATTTTTGTAACAATAGTAGGTATTTTATACCCTATTACAAAGGCTAACGTAGGCAGTAATCATAACTCCACTATAATACATTGTTCGATGGATGCCTAAACTTTCATCTTGGTATATTTCTAAGACTCTTAAGAAAGTCAGTAATTTGATAGCTAGCTATTTTGCAGATAAGAAAATAAAATGGTATATCATTAGCCAAAAATTTGTTTTCTGAAGAAGCCAAAGAACATTTTGTCTTCTATTTCCTTTCTTCCTATTCTCAGCATTCTATGATCACATATTGCTCCTTTCTAAATCCTTCCTGTACATTTTATGGGCTAAGTTGTCTACTATAAATTATATTGGGTAAATTTTACTCTGTTATGTTGGTTGAAACAAAACATTCACAACTAGAGAGAATGTTTGAAAGTATCTTAATGAAGTTGGATTGGCCTATAAACAGTTTATTAAATAATATTTCAGGCCAGGTGTGATGGCTCAATAACACCCTGGGAGGCCGAGGGAGGTGGATTGCCAGAGTTCACAGGTTAGAGACCATTCTGAGCCAGAGTGAGACCTTGCTTCTAAAAACAGCTGGGTGTTGAGGCAAGCGCCTGTAGTCCCAGCTGCTTGGGAGCCTGAGGCAAGAGAATCGCTTGAGCCCAAGAGTTGAAGGTTGCTGTGAGCTGTGATGCCATGAACACTACCAAAGTGAGATTCTGTCTCCAAAAAAAAAAAAAAAAATTATGTTAACGAAATAATAATATGGTTTGTAAGAACTATAGATGGATATCTTCAATATAATATTTCTTAAATTAAGTCTTGATTTGAGTTTTTAAAGTCAGTTTCATGGCCTGACTTAACCTTACTGATGTCTAAGAACTGTTAGCAAGTATACTAATTACTAATATTTTTCATTTCTTTCCTCAACTGGCTTCTTTCTTCTCTGTTTTGTTTCATTCTTCAACCAATGACTGCCCTGCCCAATATATGTTTTCTCCTCTTTGACCACAATGATTGCATTTTCACTTCATTGAGGTCATGGTTGTCAAGAGTTGGCAAATATACAGTGTGCCTTATAGATGTGGTAACAAAAACGTAGCCTTGACTTTATGGATTAGCACAGCCCAGTCACTTTCTGTGATAATGGAAATGTTCTGTGTTTCCAGGAATGGTAGCCACTAGCTCCATGTAGCTAGTGAGTATTTCAATATGGGTTTATGAATCTGAGGAATGGAATCTTAAATTTTACCTAAGTAGCTGTGTATCCTAATGGCTATGCTATTGGACAGCACAGTTCTAGATGACAGTTTCATTCAGCATCATTTGTTCTCATCAGTTGAGCTCATGAACTTTTACTGCATAATAATAGCCTTTTTGCATAGAAAATGATTTTCATGTTTGGAAAGAATATTTCTGTATTAACTTGTTTTTTATTCATATTTACTGATAAAATAACCCTTCTCAAATCAAAATGATTCTCAAAACACTTAGATCACACTACGAAGAAATTCAGATGGATGAAAATCTTTTGTTTAGTTTTAGAAATCCAAGGTAGCTAATTTGTGTTGTGTGTTTTTTAATCTTTATAGTTCCACTGAGCCATTGTTGTGATTTTCTCATTGTTATTTCCTTGGTTTCAGTTTGTACTTCATTGCTTCTAGATTAAGCTATGAGTTTGTATTCTTGCCATTTACCATTTTGCTGATTAATTTGCTTCCTGATGTTGAGGGGACCAAGTTCAAGGGCATGGGGTTGAATAAAGTTTGATGGTAGTGAAGAACTTTACAGTTAAAGATCCATTCGTGCTATGTTGAGCATTTAACAAACCAGTTATGCAGCCTTGTAGTCAGGTTTCATTCAATGCTACCAAAATTATGCCCAGCATATTGTGAGATAAAATTACTGCCTTACTCTTGGGCATTGACAATGAAGTGCTGTCTTTGCTTTTATTATCCTCTTGAGAGTAAGAAACTGGTGCTCCAATCCCATTAGTAGAAACTAACAAATACTATCCTCTTAAGGCTGATTTAATTAAGGGGTGATAGAGGTATATGGGACAAAAATAAATGAGACTTTCAGGAAAAAAAATTAAAACAACAGATCTTAAAAACAGGAAACTGAGGTTGAAGAAAAGATGATGAAGACCGATAATAGATCAAAAATATTTTTTAAAGAAACAGTTAACTTTAAATATGTAACACATACTTTTATGTATCACCTGATATGATAACTTGACAGTGTACATCTGAAAATAATTTGGAGTAATTAGACAAGTTCTCTTTACCCATGAGGGTGGGAAGTAAGGGAAAGACAGGCTCAGCTGCTGTTTACATCTGACCTAGGCTCCTATTTGACCTAAGTCTGTCTTGATGCAGCAGCACAAGCCAGCGAGGAGGCGGTGTCATTTCGCCGTGAACGCAGCACTTTTAGGCGCCAGGCAGTTCGGCGCCGGCACAATGCAGGGAGTAACCCCACCCCTCCTACATTGCTCATCGGATCACCCCTAAGGTAGGACGTTTTAAAATTACACCAAGGTTAGCATGCATGTGACAGACCTTCTAACCTATCCAATCAGTCACCGGAAAGCATCTGAAGAGCTTTTTCATTTCTGTTTCTTCTCTGTACATTTAAGCTCTTTTAGGTTTTCTCTGCATGTGACCATGAGCCTGTTACATTGTGCATGCCTTATGTTGCACTATTTAATCAAGATGATCAGATTGGTTTAGCCAATTTCAAATTGCAGAATCACTTAAGGCAGTTACAGAAATGTAAATACCATAGTAGGCCTTAAATCACCTTTTCTTTTTTTCGACTCCAAATTAATAACATTAATGCAGCATCCTTTCCCAGCATCCAGACAGTGTTTAATGTGAATAAATACAAAATCAAGTGGTATGCTTGTTGAGGAGTAACAGATAACTGATTTCAGCTTGATAAGCCAGTTTGATTATTTTATTTCACTAAAATATGTTTTATATCACTTAAAACTTGTGGTGCCTGTTATTCCATAAATTCCAGGACCCAGTACTGGTAAATGACACAGAACTGAAATATTTAATTTATGTAAAGTATGGTCAATTGGACATATATGTTTTTATGTACACCTTTGCTGAATTTCTCAACCACTATAGCGCAAACAAATAGTTTTAGTTTTTCTAATAGACATAAGAAAGAAAGCATCCATTCATAACTTTGGGGATAATTTCCCATTAAAATTCTAGTAACTTTTATTCTTAGTTGTATCAAATCTAATGAACCTATGCCTTGAGTTAGAAATGTAAAATTATTAAAAAGATTTCTTCTTTAATTTAAGAATATAAATATAGACCTATTTACATGTGATTGCTTAAGTGGTACCATAAACTTTTACGAACTACTCTTCCCCACGGGACCATTATAGAAGTTATTTTCCTGCCATGTTTTAATTTTAAAATTCAAAAGGAAGAGCATTTGATGAAATAATTGTTTGTGAGTGTATGGTAGATTGGGAGAGATAAACACCTTCTCTTGTTAAAACCTTGTAATCATTATTTCTTTAAAGTCTTACTTTATTATATATTCCCCTGAGACTTAAGACTTGCTGCTTTCCTAGATTTTACATCATAGTCAGGAATTTTATCTTTCATAGGTCATGTTCCTGATTATCCTTCAATAATACACATTCTTTAAAAAGTTATATGAACTAAGTAAACCAATATTTAAAGTATAAAAATGAGAAGACAGCAGTTTAAAGTTCTAGAAGCATTTTGTGAACCCTCCTCTTCTCCTTCCTTTCAGCCTCCCGTCCATTTCCACTTTTCTTTCTGCTGGTGGATTTGGGGCATAGTCCCAATATGCAGAAAGAGCTCAGCATTTCTAAACTTTTTTCCCCCAAAACCCTTTGAATAACACTTGCCGTTGTAAACTTCTTTGCTTTCTTATTCACTCTATGTTGATATGTTTTTAAACCTTGTCTTTTTGGTCTTGGAAAATGCTTTCATTCTTTACCACACATGAGCCTGGGAGATCCCACTCACAAAACATTTGTAGACAAGTTAATCTTTTTCTCCACCTGGTGGAATATTAAAGAGTTGTGTTCTAACCCCAGCTAATCACATACAATTTTTCCCTGTTTTCCTAGGGTTTTAAATACATCCTGGTTTGAATAAGGATATGGTGTAAAACTTATTTTTGAAGTGCTCACATTAGACTTTTTGGCAAGTAGTCTTCCAGTAGTCTGCAGGGAGTTTTGTCAGGGTTCCAAGATATTTCTAGTACCTTTGCATGTATCTTAAGCTAATTTCATCATGGGTGAAGTAAAATAAAATTTAGCTGTGAAGGTTTAGGGAGAAATACCAATTATTAACGTAATTTTTAAAATTATAAAAATATTCAGGCAAAGTATATTGGTGTTTTTTCTCAGTGTGAGTTATACTGATCTTAGCTAAAGACCAAGAAGCAGTTCTCAGTGTGAGTTGCAGAATAATGAACTCATCTTTAAATTTTAATAAATATAGGGTGGTGTGGTCATTTACGTTTTAAAATACTTGTCAAAAAGAAATGTGGCAATAATTTTCATTACAATTACTATATAAAACTTATTTTAAACTTTAAAAAATAGTTTAAAAAGCACCTTGGTAAAACATATGTCTCCAGCGATTAGGAGTGAATTATCAATTTCCTAACAAAGAGAATTTGCATGTATGTTGTAATGCTCATAAGAATATATTGTTGCAGAATTTTTTAAAGTTTTTTTTTTAATTAGCCTTACAGGTAGGTTTTATAGGCCCTTGCTAATTCTTCCCAGTTATTAGGTGCAAAAAAGATGAATATTTTAAAATTGTACGATACAGATATTAAGAGGTGGTTTTACATTTATCAGTGTAAATGTGATATCTTTTTGAATTCTAGTTAACAGACTGAAATGGAAAGAAATCATCAGTGCATTTTGAGGAATGGCAAAAAAGCTTTAATGTATTCTTAGATTTATTTTTAAAAATATAAGATGGGGGCACAAAAATATATAAGATTGAAAGATCTCTAATAAAATAAGGTTACAGTAGTTAAGTGAGAGTCCATGATTTGAAATTCGTAGGGATCATTTTGTGGTGCTCATAAATGAATCCACCATTTGTTGTTTGTATACTATGTTCAAGATACTTGTGTGCATTTTCTCTGGAATCTGGAGACTCATAGCAATGGTACACTTTCATTTACATTTTACAGAGTTTATATTTTACTTGGGGAGAGACTACAAAGATACAACTAGCAGTGTAAGGCAGAATGTGTCAAGTACCAATTAAGTGGTGTAGAGGAAGGAAGGACAAAGACCAACTATTTTTCTGTCAATTAAATTAGAAATGTTAAATACAATAGTAAGATTGCATGTTAGTGATAGCTAGTGACACACAGCTGATAGCTACAGACTACCTTTCCTTTTGCAGTATTATAAAATAGTTCCTACCTTTTTCTCAAACTGATAGTTATGACATTCAGTTGAAAATGTAAACAAGATTTATTCATGTCAGTCATTAATTAAAGATAAAGTACAGCCCCTCAGGAATATGTTTTCTAACAGTTCATGTAAAAATGACAGGCATGTTTTGTTGTTGCTAAAGGATTTGAAAATAGGAATTCAGAGACAGGAAGTAGAAAAAAGAGAATATAAATTTATTACCTCTGATCTGTATACTTAAAAATGGTAAAGATGGTAAATTACATAGGTATGTTTTACCTCAATAAAATAATTTAAAGTAAAAAGAAAGTAGGAATTCAAGGAACATAAACATTTTATTATTAGCTTTTGATGTTCAAAAACTTGATGTTGATAATTATAGATTTCAGCTAATTTCCTTCTTTATTCTGGAATTGATTTTCTTGGATTGTCTAATAATTTTCAAACTTTATTTGTATACTTTGATATACATTGTACATTGCTATGTTGAAGATTAGTATATTCTCAATTATCTTCATGTTAAAAT